GATTTGTTAAAATCAAGTCTAGAACAGCTTCACCCCTCATAGCTTTTTCAACCTTCTGAAATAAAAAGTTGTCTGCAATGCAGTCCAAGAACTTATTGGATAGTCTGTGCCCTGCTGTGTTGTTTTCCCAACATATATCTGGATAGTTGAAGTCCCCCATCACTACCAAATCTTGGGCTTTGGATGATTTTGTTAGTTGTTTAAAAAAAGCCTCATCCACCTCTTCCACCTGGTTAGGTGGCTTGTAGTAGACTCCTAGCATGACATCACCCTTGTTTTTTTTTTATCCCTTTTAGCCTAACCCAGAGACTCTCAACACTTCTGTCTCCTATGTCCATCTCCACCTCAGTCCAAGTGTGTACATTTTTAATATATAAGGCAACACCTCCTCCCTTTTTCCCCTGTCTATCCTTCCTGAGCAACTATACCAACATTCCAATCGTGTATTACCCCACCAAGTTTCAGTGATGCCAACAATGTCATAATTGCATTTATTTATTAGCACTGCCAGTTCTTCCTGCTTATTACCCATACTTCTCACATTTGTATATGGGCATCTAAGATACTGATTTGATCTTGCCTCCCAGTTTTGCCCTGACCCTCCTTTCTCTCAGCCATCCTAGCCCACGCTCCCTCCTATTTCTGACCCATCTCCCCCACTTACCTGTGGGCTTTGCTCACCTGTCCCCGTCGAACCTAGTTTAAAGCCTTCCTTACTAGGTTAGCCAGTCTGTGTCCAAATAGGGTCTTTCCCCTCCTCGAAAGGTGAACACCATCTCTGCCTCGCAGTCCTTCCTGGAATAGCATCCCATGGTCGAGGAAGCCAAAGCCCTCCTGATGACACCATCTTCGCAGCCAGGCATTCACTTCACGATGCACCTGTCTCTGCCCAGGCCCCTACCTTTGACAGGAAGGATCAAAAGCCCTTGAACCATGATCTATCATGGTCTTAATGTTCTTCTAATACTTTTAAATGATTATATTCCTCTCCCTCCTCTACCCTGAATCATAATTTTAACCAAACTACAGTAAGCACATTAAGGGTATCATACCCAAGCTAGCTTTGATCCAGCTTGTTCAAATGACAGGAACAATGAAGCCATTGCAACATGGATAACAACATGGGCTAATTGACTGGATGGCTTAATAGGTCTCTAATCTCTGATTCCACATATGAAGTACAGCCATTATCTCTTCTTTTGATCTATACTATGATTAAGACTGCGAGTTTGTCACAGAGGTCACGGAAGTCATGGCCAGTGTTGGCTGGCTCTGGGGCTTCCTGAGCAGTTCAGGCAGCCCCTGGGCCAGTCGCACCAGTCACTGCTGGGGCAATCACTGCTGGGGCGGTCTCAGGCCACCACAACAGGAGGAGTTTGGGTGGGGGGCTGGAGATTCGGGCATGGGAGGGACAGCGCTTACCTTGAGGGGGCTCCCCGGAAGTGGCAACATGTCCTTTCCTCAGCTCTTAGCTCCACGCGCTGTCCCCTCCCACAGGCACTGCCCCCACAGCTCCCATTGGCCATTGTTCCCGGCCAATGGGCATTGCAGAGCTGGCAGCGCACGGCATGGAGCTAGGAGCTTAGGGAGGGACATGTCACTGCTTCCAAGAAGCCAGGTAGGCAGCCTGCCAGCCCTGCCACCCCCCCACCCCTCTAGCACCAGTGGGGGTCCTGGACTGCTTGCACCTGCAGTGCCCCCCGGACCACCCCCTTGAACACTTGCGCTGCCCACCAGACCACCCTCTTTATGCCTGCAACCCCCATGCACCCGTGGCACCCCCCAGGCCACACACCCCCAGCACTTGTGGCGCCCCCCCCCCAGGCCATCCCCCGAGCATGCGCAGTCTCCCCCAGTCCCAACGAGCACTCCCAATTTAGCCAGGGGTATAGTACAAGTCATGGACAGGTCATGTTAATTTTTGTTTACCGCCCGTGACCTGTCCATGACTTTTACTAAAAATACCCGTGACTAAAACGTAGCCTTAACTATGATCTATTCTTTTCTTAAGATCCTACGCAGAGTGTTTCCAATAGGAAATAGGAACCAGCCACATAGTCCAGCGGGTAGGTGCAGCTACAGAAGCAGACAAAGCAGGGATAGCTGCATTGGTTGGAGGGGTTAAATTGGGTTCTTTAGGGTCCTCCCTTCTCCCAGCACCACCTTGGACCCAGAACTGTTCAAGGGAGATCTCTCACATGCTTTGTGGGCACCAGGATGCAGCTGGTGCCTCCCTGACTCTACATGACCTTGAGGAAAAAGTGCAGAGGAACCAGCCAGAGACTCCAATGGATAGGAGCGGAAGCAGCCAAAGCAGGGACTTTTGGTCATTCAGAGAACCATCTATAGTTTTAACTGGACTTTTGCTGCCCTGTTCTGATTGGCTGTTGCTCCAACCATCCCCCTTCCTCCCAGTCTCTTCATGTCAACTTCACTCCACAGCTGCCCCTTCCTACCTTCTTTTCCCCTGCCCTGTCCCACCTTCCTTTTCTCAAATGTCCCTATCCCTTCACTTTTCTTTCTATTTAGCTTATTCCCTCCTAACTAAACCACCTATCACCACCATCCCTCCCAAAATAATAATAATAATTAATAATAATCATGAAACTAGATATCAGTGAAGACAAGGAGCAAGGTAGGAAAAAAACTCTGATACTGGTGTGACTGTTAGAATAAGGAAAGCCTCCATCTGGGCCATGTCTTAGATATTATGATGCTGACCACACTAAAAAATCTATAGCTCAACCAGATGCTGTGTACATTTTAAATTAAATTTAGTTTCTTTGATGCAAAGAACTGTTTTTACGAATGGACATTTCTAGCCTTCCCAGCCTGCCTCTGAAAATCAGTGTATTTCTGGTTTCAATTAGACTTTTCAATGTTTTTTGTACTTGATTAAAGATTTGCTCTCCTCGTATCACCACCATATTGCATGTTCATGTAGCTCCTGAAACGTCCTTATATGATAGCACAATTTGCTGGCCATACAACATTTCCAGCAACAACAAAAGGTCTCCACTGTAAAATTTGGTTTTATTATTTCCATTTCTGTAGGATAGATCATTTTGATTATGAAATATAGTACGTATAAATTTGTACATTTGAGTACTCACATCGGTCTATGAAATCAATGTACTTAATAGAGTGTCAATGGTGTTCTATCTAACTGATGCATACAGTGCAAATTATTCTGATGGAAGCTTTTTCTTGTTCATTGGAGTTAACACTTAAATTGTCGTCCTTTTTCCAAACCCATTTTCCAGCCATCAGAATATGAATAAATGACCAAAATTATAGTCCAAGTGTGTTTGAAGGAGACCCAGATACTCTCCCATAGCTTCTTAATTGATTCTTTTAGCTGCGAGAAACCGAGGAAGAATTTTCCTTTAATTTTGGTAGATAATGGCTAGAGCTTTGTGAAAATGCCTTTGGGGTGAGTAGATCTTTTAGTAGTTACAAAATGTAGAAGCGCTTCCAAAAGCTGACGTAGTTCTAGAATCATGACATTACAAATGTGGTGTTTACAGTTTTGATGCTCCCATGTTGTTTTTCCTTCTCAGGTGTCATTTGTAATTTGTTTTGCCTTTTTCCTGGCATGGTCTCCTTATGCAGTAATCTCTATGTGGTCAGCATGTGGGTTTCAAGTGCCAGTGCTCACCAATGTCCTAGCCAGCCTTTTTGCCAAATCTGCCAGTTTTTACAACCCACTCATCTACATGGGAATGAGCTCTAAATTCCGTAAGGACATCAGAAACATTTTCCAGTGTCTCAACCGAGACAAGGATTCAACCCTACAAATGCCAGTACAGATGTTCAATCAAAGAAATGAGGCAGCTGTCCTCCTGAAACCACAGAGAGAGTTTGTGTCCAAAGTTCCTGAGGCTGAAACGCCAGGCTTAGACATGGATTCACTGCCCAGAGACACTCCTTTGGTGCAGGAGAATCCTTCATTTTGTTCTCCTGTTTCTAATCAACTTACCGCTTTTGGAGTAAAAACAATTCAAAGGAAACAAAGTGGATCTGGCTGACTTTGATCTGGAGAAGGTGAAATAAGGACTGTTTTTTTCCTGAAGATTAGATTTCCACAGCAAATGACCTTTGTCTCTTGTCCTCATCAGTCTGCTAATATTTCACAGACGTTTACAACTGTTCTCATATACAATTTCCCAGTGACTAAAAAAGACATAGCAAAACTGATAATTAATTCATGGAGATTAGCTTTTGCCTATTTTCCCTTTTTAAAATTAAATTAGCACATTACTAAAATAAAGGTATTTGTTTATTCCTGACAAATTGTGCATATCAATGTATGCGTCCTGTACATGGACCCCCAACTCTATTTCTATTTTACTCTATTCCCCTATGTGGCTTGATTACATACTGGTCCAAAATCCAGGATCTTATTGAAGGAACTAGTGAAAACCCACTAAATCGACCGCAGATCACTCTCCCGTCGACTCCTGTACTTCGCCTGAATGAGACACACAAGGGGAGTTGACGGGAGAGCGTCTCCAGTCAACATCGCGTAGTGTGGACCCTGTGGTAAGTAGATCTAAGTATGTTGACTGCAGCTAAATTATTCACGTAGCTGAAGTTTTATAACTTATATCGATCTCCCCCTGTAGTGTAGACAAGGCCTAAGACTAATGCTAAAGAATCCCAGCTATGCTAGTGATCAGTGACAGTTCCAGTATCTCCCAAACTGCCCCAGCTCTATGCATGCCACTATTGTACCACTCCACAATAGGGAGATTTTCAGTGGAATGAAGCATATTTTACTAGCCTCACAGGTCACGCACATTCCATCTTAGGTATTTTGCGACCCAGTGCGCAACAAGAATTTTCCTAAGGAGGGGGCCCAGAGCTGTCGCTCCACCCAACCCCCCATATGCCTCCCTCCATCATTTCTGCACACAGACCAGAGAGGCAGACAGGCTGAAGAGCACCATCCCTACCATGGTCCAAGTAGTTCTGCAAGCCCCAGACCCCCACCTCTTCCTGCATTTCCACTCTCCCAGGAAGTACCAAAAGCCTGGATCCTATCCTCCCACCCTCCTGGGGACTACAGTTCCTGCCCTTGCTCTGCTTCTCCCCAGAAATGGGGGTGTCTGGTGCCCATGGGTGACAGAAGGACTGCAAAGGTAGGGGGCCAAGCAGGAACACAGAGTTGTAATGCCACTTAGCGTCATGGTGATGGGGCAGCTGGGTCAAATTTCCAGCTCCAGTCAGGGGCTAAGAGGGGAGGTTGGGCCCTCTGCCCCCCCCCTTATTACACCCCTACTTGCTATTTTAAATATGATTATTTTGTAGCCTTTGGTGCATCAGAAACCAGTGCCTAATAGCAGCAAAGCCTCAGGCTCAGTTTTTGGAATGTCTAAATGTTAATGCCTAAATCACTAGTAGATCATGGCTGCCCAAATCATGTTGTCTTTGAAGTGAGGGGAAAGTGGAAGAAAGCAAGATGGTATTCAGTAAGACCTGGGGCTGAACTCTGTGCTGCAGCTCCTGAAGAATGCAGGATAGAAAATGCAGCCCGTGAAAGAAAATAAATGAGGCAGTGTAAGTGTTATTTACCCCTTCACATGACAAAAGAACCAAGGGTCACCCAATGAAATTAATAGGCATTTTGTTGAAAATAAACAAAAGGGAGTATTTCTTCACACAGTGCACAGTCAACCTGTGGAACACTTTGCAAGGGGATGTTGTGAAGGCCAAAACTATAACTGGATTCAAAAAAGAATTAGGCAAATTCATGGAGGATAGATCCATTGATGGCTATTAGCCAAGATGGTCAGGGATGCAAACCTTGCTCTGGATGTCCCATAACTTCTGACTGCCAGATGCTGGGACTGAACGACAGGGGATAGATCACTTGATTATTGCCCTGTTCTGTTCATTCCCTTTGAAGCATCTGGCACTGGCCACTGTTGGAACCTGTTGGCAGACAGGATCCTGGGCTAGATGGACCATTGGTCTGACTCACTATGGCCATTCTTATGTTCTAGGCTTTCTGCTGTTTGTGCCATTTGGATTTCAGGCTGCTACAGGGTCTATAATGGCCCCCAGAACAAAGCTGAAGTAGACTTAAGTTACAAAAGCCTCACTACAGCTCCCTATGGACTGCAAAGCAGCTCAGAATGTCTGTAGCACCAGGTCCTACAGCTGCTTCCTTGCCTGGGCCAGCCCTGACACACCCGGTATGCTGGGTTTGTGAGGGTAGACAATGTAGAGTTGTTTGTGCTGGACTTATGTTGTTCCTAAACCAGGGGAATGCCACCGCAACTCCTTCCATCTAATTTACAGCCCATATATGCCACCAGAGCAGTTTATAGGGGTGAGAGTGAAAACTAGAATCACCCCTTGATTTTTAGGTCCAATAGCTCCTGTCTTCCCAGACCTAGCAGCACTGTGGTAGAGCAGACCAAAAGCATTCACGACTTAGGACATTTTCCCAAGCACTGGTCCTGGGCCAATTCGGGGGGGGGGGAAGGGGGATGAAAATTGATTGTTTTTTAGTTTCCATAGTCATAGCAGCCTCTATCTGGTCTAGTAGGAAGCATGCAGGCATCTTCCAGTGATGTCTGGAACACACCATCCACTGGAAAAATGAAATGTGATAACTTCATAAAAAAAAGACCTTACCCAAGTCTAGATACAGAAATTGGCAAAAAAACAAATTCTCTTGTGCTGCAGAAATAGACGCAGTAATTTCTGGCAGGAAAGGCAAAGAGAGAATGCCATTTTAGACCATGACCCTGCAATGAGATCTGTGTAGTCAGATTCCTCCCCCCATGTGAAGAATGGGATTCACAATCAGATAACAGGATCAGGGTCCTAATAATGAAAACCTAAAATCATAGAAATATTATCATCCACACATTTAATGTTGTGCTTTTGTGACGCCTCCTTTTGTGTTTCTGTGAGTCCTCCTTTTGCTCTTTTCTGGGGTCCCTAAACTTTTACAACCCAGAAACTTCTATACTTTTAACATTGGCTGCTATACTGTAAACATTTTATTAACAAAAATAGCAAAACAAAACAAATAGGACAAAGTCAGGTGCATACTGAAAATCCTGGATCAGGGCTCTGTCATGCCTGAGCTGGGTTCTCTCACAAAGTGAGCTCACCTGTTCCAATAGTCCAGCCTATGCCTATCTCTCCATGACCTAAACACAACTGTTGTCAGCAATAGAACCGGGTTGGGCCTGGCTTTTTGGGTTATGGTAGAGGGAGGAATATTCCTCCCTTTCCTGGCTTCACTCAGGAACTGCCATTTGCTAAAAGCAGCCAGTCCTTTTTATTAGGCCTTCCTCCAGCCCCTGGAGGACCAAATCTCACTGGTTCCATCATCAATTCACCCAGAAAGACTTTTCTAGGCAACCCCAGATGTTCAAAACTCACTGCCCTTCGCAAAGGTATGTTGCGTGGGATGGGATGCACCAAAGCACTGGGGTTTCCAGCCGTGGGGTAATGAATGCTTCATACACCCCCATCACAGAGTCTCTGTAGCTGGACTTGGGTCTTAGAGATGTAAATATTTCATGTGTGGTCATGTTTCTCACTGGAGAGACATCTTTCTAAAAGCGGTTTCACTTAGTGTTTGCACACATGATGTCTTGAAGGACTGGACAAGTCTAAATGTTAAAAGTCCACATGTCAATTGCTTTTAGTTGCTGGTTAAATGCAGGAACACTTATAAAATGTATATAATAATAACAATGAAGCTCGAAACATTTGGTGCTGTTTGGTGTGTAATCATTTACTTGCTATTGCTGGTAACCTTGATTGGTAGTTGGATATTATGATACTTAAAGCAAAATGTAATTTCTATTAGTTGGTTAATTGAAGAAAGCATTTTGCATAATTCATTTTTAAAAATTTTTTATTTCCCAAGTATGATCTGAATAAAACAGTCCAGTGAGCATTTGGCAGCAGCAGCAATGTCTAATTTCCAGTTTGCACACACTGCCCGGTCTCCAGGTTTGGACTGCAGCAGATACTGTTGTAACCAGGCTGTATACCTGGATCATTTACAGTTAATATACTATTTTCAGAGTCATATGAGACTTCTTCAGCATTAGCTTACCCCTCTCCAGAGGACCCCTCTCATTGTGAGAATTCTATAAATGTCAAAGCTAATCTCAGTTTTCATTTTTGGACAAGTAAGCTCTTAGCCCTATCATTGCAAAGATACAGTAATTTATATTGAAAGTGTAAACCAACTGTTTGGGTCGAAAGTTTGTCATTAAGTTTTCCTAAAAACCTCCACCTTTTGCAGGCATTGCTGGCTTGGCCTTTGAGGTCCATGATACACGCACAAGGGCCATGATCAATCTGGATGATGATGATGATGATGATTGATTATTATTATTTGGAGGAGAATATGAAAGAGGTTTCACAGGCTAATTAATTGAGCTACCTTCTCTGCTGCTGAACAGCCAATTTGTGCCCCTCTGGTGGGGGTGGGTGGGGAAGCAGCATATTAGTATGAGAGGCAATGTGGCTTGGAATGAAGAGACAATGTTAGACACAGGCAGAAATGAAGGAGTGAGAATTGGGATAGAGATTATTAGAGTTTTCAGATGCTGAAGGAAATAAAAATAATGGATGAGGAAATGTATTCCCATATTAGTTCGTTTGAATTTCTGTTGTGAGGTTTTTTTCCCTAGCATTTTGCATGCAGATAATCTAGTTGTGTAGCCACAGTAGAGTTTGCCATTGTTGCCACAAACAGCAGGTAAATGACTGATGTGTCACTAAAATTACAATATCCTTCACGGGGGAACCTTTCTCCTATGGTACGAGAAAAAGACCCTGTTCTCCTGGAATTAAGCACAGGCTATTTAAAAAGATTTTTAAAAAAGAAGGAAAAAAACCCCATACCCTCATCCTAGAACAATGCATCTACTATAGACTTGTTTTTCAGCAGATGTTTTGAAATGCCATTGAACAGCTTAGGAGCTAGGTGTTCTGCTTTAAAGAACATGTTGTGAATTGTTTCAGAACAGAGCTATTTTGGCTACACTGGTTAAATTATCATTTTTTAAATATACTTCAGATGTTAAACTATGTAGCTGAAGACTTTTTTGTTAAAGGAAAAACAAGGTAACCACCGAAAGCAAAACATGCTTCATTTCAACAGACTGAACAGATAGCCTTATCTGTTTTTCATACATTGGTCTGTAGCCTTGGTGAACTAATGTATTTCACTTAAATTCAAAACCAACATTGCTAGGACGCAGAATAA